CTCTCACATGAGCATGCAGGTTTAAATCTTCTTTTATCCACATTGTGTACAATTCAACATTATTCAAAACACTCTCTTTCTGTCTTGCATTTGGACAATAAAGAAGGTGGGAAAAGTAGCAACCGGAAATAAAAAAATAAAAACACATTGCTTTGTTGAGCCACTAGGTGGCGCCATAGTGTCACAATTGTCTCACGCCCTGTAAATTGATATCCTGTGTAGAGTTACTTCCTTAAACTGGATGATTATTCATTGCCTTGTAGGGACAGCTGTAGAAGACTCATCAAACCTGCGATTGTTTTGATACTCAAATGTCTCTCTCACCTCAGAAAAAGCTAAACCCCCATGTGTTGTGTTGGGGACTACTGTTGCAGTTTATATTGTTGTTCACTGTCCAGTACAACAGGAGAGTGTATTAATGTGTATTGTATTTTATTATTTTCTGTATTTATTCTGTTACAGTGCTTTAGTCAAACAGTGTTATGCCTTGTGAAGTGTTTTTTGATAACTAGGGATGTGGTCAATACCAAGTAAAATGATGCTTGTATCTTTTTTTGAGCATGGATTTCTAGTGGTTTATTCTATTTTACCTGGTCTCAACACTTCATTATTACAGTTTGCATTATAATAATAATAATTTGTTAGTTATAAATGCTGAAACTTACAGATCTACTCACTTGCACACACATATATAACTCAATATTTATACCATCTTAATGAATTTGAGGCAATCTTGAGTCCTAGAGAGACAACAGTCCCAAATGAGCTCAGTAAGGTAATACACTACAAGGAAATGCAGGTGCTCTTCACCCCATACACATCAGTGTTATAAACCATACGTCTGTTTGTTGTCCTGTTTCACTCCTTTCTCTCCGTATGCATCACTCCAGTTTGGTTTATGATCAGTGCAGTTGATTTTTGTCTTTGTGGCTCGTCATATACAGGAATACTTAAACAAACCCTCAGTCTATGGGCTTGTAGACCCTGGCCTCTTCTCCTGCGTGTCTCCAAACATTCATTGCTATGGGAGACGTGTCTGCTGGGATAAAACATGCTGTGAGATGTCACCATAGTGATGGCGTGAGACAGAGGCCTGGGGGAGGAGAAGGTGCAGACTCAACTGAGAGAAGAAAAGAGAATTGGCAGAGTGCATTTATTTTATTCTGCTGAACACTGTATCGCTATTCAGGTTTTAACCAAACCAAGTATAAAAAAACTATCAACACAATGTTACTGGTGCTAATTTACTTTTTTTTTATAACAATATTCTTCAATTGTCATGTTCTTAAATGGTCAAATTATTTGAAATATTGCCTTTATTTCTTAATTCAAGTTATTTCAAGTGATACTGTATTAGCAGTAGTTGGAAAAGTGCACCACAGTGGCTGATTGTTAATTCACAGAGTTAAAAAAAGATCAGTCACAACATACACTTCTATTTATCCCGGAAGGAGGCTAGCTAGTTTACATAAACTCCTCCGCAGTACAAAAACAACCTGAATAAACATTGGTCAAATGAGAAATGACAAGAATGAACTGTTCTTGACTGCGAAGACTCAATATGGACCTAAATCATTATCAACGTAGTGACAGCTTTAAGTTAAGGTTGTGCTTCCATTTGACTTTAAAAGGGACAGATTGTGCTGACTTGCATCCCTGAGTACTGTGGTTTTACTTCTTTAGTGTGTAATGAAGCTGAGTGTCCAGACAGTTACCACCAGCTCTTCTTCATGCTACACAGAGCACGACAAATAACAAAGTCTTTGTCCTCAATCTGCTCTTTTCAAAGTTCCTGCACATGCACACATACATTACATGCAAGTTAGCGAAGTTTGTTGTTGTTTATTAACTTAAAGAGAAAAATCTGGAATGATTTTTTCAAGTTTCTGGACATCTTATTGATACTTTCCCGTTTGGTATATTGTATATTCTGAAATAATATGTGTCGACAGAATAAAACAAAGAAGGAAAGGTATAGACAATTTGTAATGACCAGAATACTTAATAAACCACTGAGCTACACTGTGAAATCATAAACTGTGTTTCAGCTGAAGATAAGTCACTAAACTGTCACATAAACCAAAATGTTATTTAGTGTAAGATTAGCTGCTGTCTCCAGTGGTGAAAAGTAACTGAATATATTTACTCAAGTACTGTACTTTTAGTAGAGTTTTAAAGTATGATTTATGTACGAGTATTTTCATTTTCTGCTGCTTTATACTTTATACAATTTAGAGGCAAATATTGAAAATGTTTCTCCACTATTCTCTCCACTGATGCCATTTTTTTTAACTTTAGTTAATAGTTACTTTGCATATTAAGATTATTATATTTTCTAATATATATAAAATATGTATAAAGTAATTAAAATCAGCCTCACCAAAATTCAATAATATAATACTTTAGGTACTTTGAGTTTAGTTTGATGGCAATACTTTTGTACTTTACTTAAGTTATATTTTAAACAAAGAACGTCTGCTCTTAAGTGGAGGAGTATTTGTACACTGTGGTATTGCTACTTTTACTGTAATAAAAGATCTGAGTACTTCTTTCACTGCTGGCTGTCACATGAAAATGAACATGTTGGTTTGTTATGTTATGTGTACAACCTTTGTGTGTTCGTCCTATAAACATTTAGAATCTTTCAGGCAAACGTGAAGACCATGATTCAACGGGAGCATCAACCCACAACTATCATTTCAATTTCATGCAGAACCACCTGTCATGAATCAAATATCTGCTCATTTACAATACAAGAGAACTTAACTTCTGCTTTACTGACACTTCTGCTTTTACTGTGACATTTTGGAAATATAAAGGAGGTTTAAAAAAGGCCATAACAATAAGTTTCGGCCTTACAGTTTCAACAAATTACAAACGTTTCCACATTTATATGTCAAAGGTACTTTTTTTTTGTATACTGAGACACTTTCCTGGAAATATATTTCTCAGAATTTGTCGTCAGTATTCTGATAAAACAGAGTCTGTATTTATAGTTTATTCGTCTTGTGACATAAATGGCGATACTAAAATATTTTTGTCCAATTAGTCGCTATTTTAGTCTTTCACAACAGCTCCGATTTATCTGTGTTTAGATATTTAAATAATTTGACAACTCATTAAATCATAAAACACAGTGCAAAGCTGCCTGATAAGAGCTGCAGAATTATCAGGATACTCTAGGAGAGGACAGGAATGTTCTCACAGTGTCCGAAGTTAGAAAACAGAAGTCAGTGCACAACAACCACACTCTGTTCATACTGTATAACCTATACAGTCATAATGCCAAAGTCTCATCTATCTATACCAGTCATTTTCAAACTTTTAGGGTAAGCCAAAATCTCAAGGCACGCCTATATTCATATCTGTGCAAAATAGCTCCTCTATCACTTCTTATCACTCTTATCACGCTGTAAACTTTCATTTTTATTTACTAATGCCAAATAGAATTTAACAAACTCACATTCAGGAAATATTGATTAACAAAGCAATTTAATAATTAATTTGACACTTTGTAAAATTGCATTAAAGCATAAATACTGCCATTTAAATCCGACAGGTCACAAAATTAAAAATTAGTTTTAACTAAGTTCATACAAAGTACTGATATACTAAAAAAAAAAATGAAATCATAACTTTTTGTATAATTACATTGATATAATATGTTGTATGGTTGTTTAAAAATTCCACTGCACACCTGAACTTCCCTCAGTCAGAAAGTCAGTCAGTGGTTTGGGAACTACTGATCTCTTACCACCGGCAGAACAAACACAGCACACAGTAGAGGACACGCTCAGAAATCGCTATGGTTCCCTTTCTTATTTAACATTTATTATCTGTGCATTCATGTTTTTGGCTCTGGTGCTGGAAATATATGCCTAAAATAATTATCTATACGAATTACTGAAAGTTTGACTCTGATAAATCACAGCATAAATTCAGAATATGACCTGTATAATTTTTAGAGCGGTTTAAAAATGTAATGAGATAATAATGTGTTTAAAACACAACATAGCTATTGACACCTGCTGAGGTGTTTGTAAGAGATAGTTTATCTGCTTTACACAACTTTACAGTCCATCAGTCAGTGAGGTTAAAAAAATCAGTGTTAACCTGCTTTCTAGTGTCTCTATCAGGTACCTGTTGGACTTTGATTCGGTCATCATCTTGTTTATGAGACGTCTGCTACTTGTCAACTCCACATGTTCTTGCAGGAAACAGAAGTTGACATTCAAATGTGCGATCAGTGATATATGGAAGTCTGAAAGAACAATGGGCTTTATTCTCTGTACTGCGTGCCAACACTGCTTTGACCTTCTCTTTTTTTTCTTTTTTCTGGCCAGTCATACCACTGTAGTTCTCACTTTGTTCACTTCAATCAACATCAGCTGCACACTCATTTAAATCTTTTTCTTTCTTTATATTTTATTTTTTAAATGTCTCCTACATACATTAAAGGTACCCTATGGAGTTTATACTATTGTACTATTATCACTATGGAGCAATATTTGAAGTGGGTCACCGTTTTGTTTATATCAAGCGTACGTGAATTTAGCTTTCTAACTTGCTTTGAAACATACAGTATCTATTAGCACAGTCAAACATGACATTATTGATTTCATGTTTTTTAAATTTTTTTTATTAATCTATATTTTTTCAAACCATTGTGAAAAATGCCCACCCCAGAGCTCAGGGTGACATCTTCAGAGTACTTGTTCCACCAATAGCCCAAAACCAGCAGTGTAACGTACATTTACTCAAGTACTACAACACAACACCTCAATTGTGCTAGCTTGCTCCTGCTCAGCAAATGCATCAGAGACCTCTACGTCGACTGGAGTGAATGACAGACTGACCACAGCGGTGTAGCAGGAACAGGGAGCTGGTAGTCAGTGCTAATGAGCAGCTGCTGTCAGACTCTGTATGTAAAAGTTTCTGTGTGGTACCTGTGTTGTATCTGAGCTGGCGGCTCAGAAAGGCTAACTGTCTGCTATGTGTGTGTTTGTGGGGGGAGTCATTGTGTGGGATCAAGGTAAAGATTGCAGTGTTGCTTCTACAGTCGTCAAGTCAGAACCACTGCTCCAAAATAGAAAAATACCAAGTAGAGGCAAATATGGCATAAACTCCCATGGATGATGCATCTCAATCAGTATGCATTTGAAAATGAGCGCAGTGCTGTCACAGACTCTTACTGACTTACTTACAGACTCTTAGGTGGGCCACTCTCCTCTGATTGGAGGGTGTTATTCTTCTTTTTATAAATGCCATAAAGAAATAAAAAATGTGCTCAACCATAACAACTACAGTATTAAATCCAACATACAAATTAATGTAGCACTAATAATAATGCAAAATGATCATATAATAGTAAAGCACAGACAGTGTTTTCTTTTGATACTTATAGTTTTGCTGATAATGCATATTATGTTTTTGCATGTAAGATTTAAATGAATGAATCATAAATAAATATTGTAAAGGATTAACATTCACAATTAAAGCATCGTTTTGTTGTGTCTCTGTTGGGTAAGGTACAACAGATGACACTGAGCTAATCAGTATCATCCTAGTTAATGCAGAGTCAGGAAATGTCGGACAATCCACATGATGGTTTTCAACCACTGAGTCACAACATTTTACAGCCTTATCTGCAGAAAATGGAACCAAAGGTACTTTATCAGCATTGAAACACCCTTGCTACACTTGCTGCTTGCTGAACAGTTCTCTGCCACCAGGTATTATCAATCAGTCACACAAATACACACACACACACACACACACAGACACACATGCACACACGCACATACACCTTGCCATATCCCTGTAATCTCAGAGGACCATGACCGAGGTGGGTCAGCGAATGGAATTTGACCAGTTCTACGGAAAAATGTCAGCAACAAATATGCTAAAGTGTGACAATAATTTTTTTACAGAATACTCTAACTGTGCACCTACATACAGTTCAACAAGCTGCTGTTCTTTTTTCTCTTGCGTTCAAATGGTCACTTTTAGCTCCCAAAAAATCAAGAAGGCAACGGCCAAAATGCCAAACCCAAAGCTTTCACAAACCAAAGGGTGATGGTGGCTACAGTATATATATAATGATGATATAATATATAATATATGACATATTATTTAATTATTATTAATATGATGGACCTGCATTCAACTGTAGTCCACAGTTGTTCACAAACAATAATCCAAAAATTCAAACAAAGAAACATGCAATTAAAATTAAAGAAAAAATTAAAGATAGGGACAAAACAAGGACGAAATGGGGCATCAACCTTCAGAAAAAACTCTGTATAGTTTTGTCAAGCAGTGAGTTTTCCTAAACTGCAGGACACATACAGGATGTATAGGCTTCTTAATATAACTGACAGACAGCATGACCTACAGCATCTAATAAGTACAGATGGTGAAGCAGCATGAATATAAATAATATCTAGTTTACATAAAGACTGCCTGACTTCCTGAGAGGAACTGTTTCTGTGAATCTGTATATGTAACACTAAAACACCTGATACCGGAGTTTATTAAACATTAAGCACATTTTTTTTTTCAGTTTTCTTTTATTCCTCAGTTCTTCCTGAAAACTAACTAGTGCAAAAGTAATGATTGTATGTGTATGCGCTGTCTCTTTCCTTTGTCCATATTATAGCCAACAGGCAAATGTGTTTTCATTTTGGTATGTGGCAGGCCAAACAAAGCCAACCGTACCAGCCACACCTAAACATTATTTAGCTCCGGCTAATCTGATAGATGAATTTAACTCAGCTGTACTGTTGGGTAAACAAAGAAACCCAATTCCCAAAGCCCAACCCAACTTTCAGCTTTTTAAACTATTTGATTTGGACTCATCCTTGTTTGCTTTGGTAGCAAAGTCTTTGTGATGTCCCTCCTAGATTATCTTAGTGTTCTTAAAAGGGAAAAAAACAACCCATATTGTTTTTAATATGGCTTTTATTGAAATCTTCAACATATTTGGAATTCAAGCAGTACTATAAAACATTTAACAAAGCATTTTATTTTGTAAATCAGCTCTTTTAACAACATTGGAACAACACAAAAGTAACACATTGTGTTAAACTTTGGAGACAAAATCCTATTTAAAAGAGATGGAAATATTTCTACTCACAAAACACATCCTGCTGGAGACAAACATCCTACAACAGTTGTAGTCGTCTTGTTCCCTCAGGGTGTCTCACACACACATACACACTGAATGGTCCTTTGGCTCTTTGCTTGACATACAGAGGACCGTACAGCTGTTACTTCTGATATATACAAAAATGTTTGAAACTAAGACACACAGTTAAAATACATTACAAATACATGTTGATTACAGGAATATAAAATAAAGTCACACATATGGACACAAAGTCAGACTTTGTGTGTCGACTGAAACAGTCTCTTCCATGTCCTGAAACAGTAAAACTAAGGAAGGAGATAATGTTGTTACCTAGGGCCATATCATGGATCCATCTTTGGTTTCAGTCTCAGCAGAAACTCTCCTAAGCAAATATTACATGCAAAACACACACACACACACACACACACACACACACACACACACACACTCTATCGCTCTGTTTCTCACACACACACACACACACACAGTGAACAATCACACAACCAAATCCATGTAAAATGAGAGCTAGCTCTTCCTTGTCATTGTCAGTGAAATGACACACAGCGTTTTAACTGAAAGTTTCAGTGAAACACAACACCAGCCAGCCAACAGCTAATGATAGAGCACGACACACACAAGAAGCAGGTGTTTTCAAATGCACATAATGGAAGTTTTAGTAAAAATACAACAAAGGGAATCATACATTTTAAAAGTTATAAACCTTTATGTTCATATACTGAACATGAAAGCCTCTTTAACCAGACACACTTGCTGGATCATGGCAGAGCAAAAGCGTTAGACTGATGCAAATGAACATCATCGGCAAAGCAAAGCTGAATGATCAGTATTTATACACTCATCTTCATCTCGGAGTCTTTTCACGGGGTGGTCACCCTGTGGTTTCAAACAGCAAAAAACAACATAGACACACAAAAAACCCTCATGTGCAACAAACATTTTCATTTTATCCAATCAAACATAGTCTTTCCTGTCGTACCCTCCACCGGCACTGGTACTTCGTGGGGCGGAGTAGGCCATCCTAGGTGGCTTGTACTTCTCTTCTTTTGGCGGGCAGCTGCTGCACAGCATCGCCCCACCAATCAGGAGCAAGGCGGCCGCTCCCCAACCGATGTAGAGCGATGCGCCCAGCTCCCTCCTTTGTGCATCAGTAAGGAGCATGTTGTAGAAATCACGGATGACGACGCTGGCAGTCCAGGAGACGGGGATGAGGACCAGAAGGCCGGCAATGACGAAGAAGATCCCAGAGATGATCATCACTTTGGCCTTGGATGGCTCGTCTTCGATGCAGTTGGTACACTTGGCGCCGACGATGGATATCATGACCCCCAGGACCCCGAGTATGATGGCGATGATCATCATTGCTCTGGAGGCCTGCAGCTCTTGCGGCAAAGCCAGCAATGAGTCGTAGACCTTACACTGCATCTGGCCTGTGCTCTGGGTGACACAGTTCATCCACAAACCCTCCCAGATGGTCTGAGCTGTGATGATGTTGGCTCCGATGAAGGCCGTCACCCTCCACATTGGCAGGGCACATGTCACTATCGCAATGATAAATCCGATGACTCCCAGGGCAATGCCCACAATCTCCATGCCCATCGACATGCTGGCTCTTTGTCTGGTGACAGAACAAAACTTAAAACAGTGAGTCCGTGGATTTTCCAACAAACAAAACCAGTTCAGATTGCAGTAAAGAGTCTTCTCCTGTGTTGTTCAGGTGTCCTCCTAGAAGCACCTGTGGTGTGTGATGTAGCTATGAGATGCTGCCACGGAAATATGAGATCCTTTATACCTCAGGGGAGTGAGGAGGAGTCCCTTGGTGATGATGTCAGCAGGAGGTTGTCTCCATGAAACAAAAAACACCACCTGTTCACATACACGGTGGAGGAGGGGAGCTGGAAGCAGGGCGGGTGAGGAGGTATGTGATGGAGGGAGGGTGGGTCTGTGTGTGTGTGTGTGTGGTGTGGGGGTTGGTCACTGGAAAGATGGCTGGCTTGTGACTTTCAAGACCAATCAACATTTTAAATAAGCTCTTTACCTGTTTTCTCCTAGGAATTGGGTTCTAACCTGATGTGGGAGATTCACGCAGTGACAAGGAAATCCAAGCTGTGGTTTAAAGTGGAGCAAACAAGGAAATTAAATGAGGTCTGACCAAATACATCACTCATTATCTTAGAGGAATGTGTTGTTCCTTAAACACAAGGCAACAGTGGAGAACAGTGAGGTAGCTGCAGCCTCTGGCTACCTAGAAAGCTTGTTGTGAGTAAGCATAGAAACACACACAAACACACACACTAGTGCAAACAGACACTCAGGATATAAGTAGACTATCCCATTGATAATATTGGTCTTTTGTTACTTCCTGGTTCCAGTCATGTGAGTTTCTTAAACAATCAGGATTCGGTGTTAGGAAAACAAACCCAAAGCTCGGCTGAAAACCGGAATAACTGCACCCAGAGTAAATATGAACAGAGAGAAAAGGCCGATTCTCAAACACCTTTAGCATACAGACAGCGTGATCATCTCAGTATCGGTTAAACTCTGTACTCTGACTAAACAATTCCCACAAACACACATGTAGTTGAGTATATTGTATAAAAGAAGGTTAATGGAGTAAATTACTGTTGTTGGCAGTAGTATTTCCTTGTTAAGGATTAGTCAAATGAGCCCAGAAATTATAATTTTTACATTCAGAAAATTAGGATTCTTTTTTTCTTTTGTTCAGGAAAAATGTTAAAACAAAATAACACATTTGTAAATGGGTTAAATTTAGACTCATAATAACATTTTAAAAAGTTTTGGTAATGCTTTATATGACAAGTGCATATATTTTTAAATAATTAACTACAACATTTATACATGTTATATTCTGTAGGAAAAATAGGAATTTTCTTGAAAAAAGCTCCATATAAACAAAAGAAATCTTCATGTATTATTGTCAACTTTATTCTGCATATATGCTTAACTGTATGCCCAACTGTAGACAACTGTCCATTAAAAGTACAAAATACACTTTATTCCCTCTAATGTATATTTTTATCATTTATCATGATTTATCATCATCATTTTTATCATTATTACTGCTACCTGTATCGGTACACATGTGTTGACCAGCCGCTTGTGTTACCAAAACAAGTGCAGAAGCAATAACAATTAAAGCTGCAAGCAGCGTTGAGCGGGACCTCGCACTCCGCGCAACTCGGGGCGTGCTGCGGCCGCGTCACGTGCCGTCGTCACAAGTATGGACCACAACATGAAAATTTCACGTAAATTCAGATCAAAACTTAGCCATGCAGCTGTTACTTTCCGTTGGCCAGCTAGGGTGCGCTATCACTATATCTGCAATATTGTTCATGTAAGACGTGTTTCCAGGCGGGACTCTGATCAAACGCTGTGAGTTTCATTGAGATTGTACCATGTACACTGAAGTTGCGAGACATGTTACAGGGGTGGGACGTGAATATGGACTACCAATCGGCGGAATTCGACCACGTCGGTCACGGGCACGCGCTTAAATGTACAGTCACAAATAGGCACAACTTTTGATCACCAATGTGTTCTAGTTGCTAGTGATCGAATTTGAAACGTCAACTTGATAAATCTGTAGGGAGAGTTCGTTAAAACAGAAGCCCATAAATGACGGAAATGGCATCACTTGGCCAACTTTGACGGCACACCACGGGACACGCCTCTTCAACGTAAGTGCACAAATAGCACAACTTTCAATCAGTAACATACTGTTGTACTGTACTGACAATTTTGAAGGCAGATCCAATGGAATTCCCTAGGGAGGGCAGTTCGTTCAAATACAACGCGAAAAGTTCACCGAAAGTGAAAATTGAAAATCAAATTGGCGACTTTCCCGTGGGTTCGGTATGGTCCAAGAGGCTTTTTTTACGTCTGGCAGGGTTAAGCCCAAGTATGCTTTGCGCCGCTGAGACTTGTCGCACGACACTGTGGACGTCAAAAAGGACATAGATCTCGCCGACAGGTCGGCAGCGGGAGGCTTCTACATTTGGCGCTCTTCACGTGCCTAACGGGGAGTTTCGTACACATCGGTGAAACGGTGGCGCCGGGGTGCTTTTCTTAAAAGCCTGTAGGGGGCGCCTACAAAACACGGACAAATGCATTTTGGTATGTGATACAGGCACCAGTTACACGTGCTGTAAATTTTTCATATTCATAATATCACATCTTCCGCACGTGATTTACCATGCACCAGAGCGCCATCCTAGTGGCGGATCGGTTGACATATTTATTAGTGAGCCTCAGGGAGCCATGGGCAAGCATCGTACCAAGTTTCATTTTAAATCAACAACATCTGCCGATGCGGAGATATAACCTTCTTCATTTTATAAGGAGCGCCCACCTTGTGGTAATGGACCTGAAATTGTACACGATGCCTAAGGTAAGGGGTCATGGTAACTATGCCGACCAACAACTTTGTGTAAATTCGGCTACCAATGGTGCGAGATGGTCACTTCTTTTTTCACGAAAAAATGTACAGCGAATGCTAATTTTAATAGGATGCATTTTTTGACTGAAAATATCAAAATTCTTCAAATACTTTTTTGCCAGGCGGGTCCCCAGATGGGCTACATGAAGGCAAATTCGGTGGCGGAATCGGACAAAGCGTATAGAGTACACGAAAAAAGTTGTTTTGGACATTTCACACTCTAGCAAAAAAAAATCTAGCGGAAAGTGGGCGTAGTATATGGGATTTTTTCAGCTCCATTCACGAACACGTGGATATAAGGGTTTTTGAATGTGCTGACAAACTATGGCTGAAGTTATTAGCTAAAATGCACTATTTATGATAGTTAGCGCCACCTAAGGTGGCCAACACGGAAAGCGACACATAGATATAACATTTTTCCCCCACGACTGACCATGCTGGCACCCCGAGTTTCATGAGTTTCGAGTGGATGCTGCAGACCTCCAAATTATGCATTTGTTTAGGGAGGAAAATAAGAAAAAGAATTCTTCACATTTAACAATAGCCTTCGCACTGGTCAGTGCCTCGGGCCCTAATTAAAAGCTGCAACGCAGGCGATTGCGCCTTGGCTCGGTCAACCATTCATGTTCCCCTAACAGGACACCAGCGTCTGGTTTTTGGAAAGTTTGTTAAGCGTATCGAGCCATTTTTGACCACACCCACAGGCAACACCCATCATGATATTCATTAAATGCCTTGCCATGTGGACTGTTGTGTGCCAAGTTACATGAGGCGTTTGGAGGCCTGTTTAGGCCCCCGCAAAATGGATCAAATTTGTTAAAACAACAAGGTTGATGTCGCCGTGTCGGTACAGGCAACACGGTCAATAAAGATTCATGACATCGTTAATATGTCATTGTCAACATTCTAAGGCTCTTCTGAACCAAATTTTGCTGGGAGAAATGGAGCGAAGCCTGCAAAGCCTAGCTTAGTTTCAGGCAGGTCAACTCGAGCGCTGCGTAGATTACACAACATGACATGCCTTATTCCATAATTACTTAACCAAGCGCTCCTTCCAATCTGGCCGGTCTATTTAAACTGCACAATTTCCCAGCTTCTCCCTCTGGCCTCTGTCAATGCCGCCTTTTGCCCTGCAATCCGCTTATTGCTGCTGCTGCTACTGCTCTGTAAAGCCCCACCACCAACCCCAGCCTCCACCTTAGGCTCCAAACTGGGGGTTAAGGTATTGCACATCACTACCCAATATCTTCTATGTCAAACATATCTGCGGGGAGCTGATGGGGAGGTCGCGAGGCCTAGGACGCGGATTTACTGCTAATAAACATTCCAAACGTGGAGTTCGGCTGGACTGAAATACATCAAAGTGCCTAATAAATCTTCCACCACTCTCACTATTAGTGAATATTATCCACATAAGCATGTTTGCATTGGAGGGACTCTCATCAGACAAGTGAAGTTTGGAGCCGAATGGGGACAATGTACACTCAAGTTCTAGCAAACGGCGCTGTGTTCTGGCGGTTCATCAAAATTTGGGGGACGCCACGCCACAGACACCCTCACTCCACAGTCATCACATATCATTAACACAATGTGTTTTGCATATTATAATAAATTTCAGCTGGATCTGATCATCTGCTAAGGCAGTAGAACACATGAAGTATAAAACGTGATACTTCCTGTCCACTAGGGTTGCGCTCTCACTATTACTGAATATTGTCACATAGACGTGTTCAGGGCGGGACTCTTATCAGACATGTGAAGTTTCGTTGCAGTCGGATCATGTACGCAGAAGTTATGACAACTTTATGTTTTTATGGCGAAGGATCGAAATTGGACGTCACGGGACGCCACGCCACGTCCACGCTGTTCAACGGAATAACGTGAATAGCACAACTTTTAATTGTGAATGTCTTTAGATGGCTGTGTCCAAATGTGGAGTCGATCTGATAAATTCCCTGCATGCAATGCAACGGCGAAAATCACCAGAATGGGACACCGGGAAATCCAAAATAGCCGACTTCCTGTTTAGTTTGATGGATATGGGTCCAAGAGGCTTTTCTGCTTCTTTTATCACGATACACATGCATACCGGTTTTCATACGGGGGACAGTTGCTTAAGTGAGTTTTCGCCACGATTAAATTTTGTGCAAATTTCCATGAGCTTTCGAGCATGTTGTGCAGCAAATAATAATAATTCCTAGAGATACAATAGGACCTCCCAGTGGTCGCTGGCTCAGTCCCTAATAATATAGCACTTTTCATACAAAATACCTACTTACAAAGTAAGGAAATAAATTAATAAACAGTTAAAAATATAAAAAGCAAAAAGATATATATATTATTACCATCATAACCACTTTCACCATCACCATCACCATCCTCCTAAGACCAGTAGTGTATAAAAAAGTTTCTGAATATTTTCAGACTGTATTATTAATGGATTTAACTGCTCAAAATCACAATTTCATTATTATATCTTATCATAACAACATCATCACTTTTAGTTGTCTCATCTCAGGTTTTCTGATAGAAGTTTAGTCCCCAAGCCTAAACAGAGATACCCCTGATGACATCACTAAGACATCATCATCAGACGTTATTTTCATAGGCTAAGTAGTACTCCCTATAAACAGTAATCTAACGTTTATAAGTTGATGGACCTTTACTTTAATACACACTATTATAAGACAGAGCAGTAAAGTTCTCCGTGTGACAGTCACAGACTGTCAAGTGAGACACTGCCGACGCCAGCGTTCCAAACAAAGAAGTGAAACCAGCATGTACTCCAAAGAAAACAGTAATGTGCATGTCAGCACGCACTACTAATATACACCCAATACACTCTCTAAGGCCTGCAGACACTGTTACACACAAGTGCTGCTGCATCAAGTCAAGAACCCAGCAGCCTCAAGCAGAGGCATGTAGGTCAGTGGTTCCCAACATTTTCCTTCTATCATTGAAAAATTTAATTTCAGATTTTATGTATATTTCATATTATATTCAATGCATAATAATAACAACAGTAGAGAACAACTGATAAACTGTACAATGAACCCAAACAGTGAACACAATGACTGCAGGAAAGTTGTGTAAAATGAGCAATTTAGAAACATTTTGAGCTGATTATTTCCTGTGAATATTGCACCAGAGAAGAGTTTTCCTGATATTTTTAGGAACTTTTTATACAATTTTCTATCTGCATTATTAATTTTTTGAATTTTGACAACCATACATACTTTGGTTGTTTATACTTTTCTAATGCCGGGCAAGGCTGTTTATCAGAGAGTGGTCTTCACCGTGCCCTTATCCTGTTTATATCTTAAATGATAATCTAAACTTTAAAAAGAACAGTTTCATTTAATTTTCCCAGCTGAAATAAATGAAATGCTGAGATATAGGCTTAAAGTTTTTCTACACCCCTTGTTCCTAGGGGCTTCAACGTTGCAGTCCATCACTTCTCCATCCCTTTATTAAACATGTCTATAAACCTGTGTGCGCAGGATTGTATTTCGGGCCTGTGTGTAGGACAGACATGTATTACATGGATAAATAAAGTTTGTAAGTAAGTCTTCTGCGTCTTTAAATTCAAGAAGGCTTCACAAACCCCCATGAAGCTTTGGCGACCCCTAGAAGCCATTATCTATTGGGACCCCCAGGTTGGGAACCAGTGAACTAGTAGATTAAGTAAAGCCACAGCTCACCATCATAATTAGTTAGGTCAGGGCAATTCTATTGTAAAAATATAAAAACTAGCTCTGTCTGGCTCAGTATTTCACCAGAACTGTGGTGGTGAATGGTGGTCAGGACAGGGAATGGTCCAGATTTGAGGCCAGATGCTAAACCTCATAGGGGAAAATTTTTGGGGGTAGTTTCGCCTTTATTGGAGAGTCCACAGTAAAGAGGCAGCAGGAAACAAGGGGTGAAAGAGAGGGGTATTACATGCAACACAAATCCTCGACTGGAATTTAACTGTCACATCTAGTGACTTTGAGGATAAATTGGACATTTTTACAGATAAAATATGATTATTTATTTAGTCATGCATGATGAGAAATACTGAAGATGGCACTAGAGTTTTAATCCATATTTTACATATAAAAACAAGTTTTTAGCATCAAAAGAAACAGTTTTGTACAGTGGCCAAGAAAAAGAAAGTTGGCTAAGTTTTGGAGAGGAGA